AATATGCTTATTTATGTTTGATTTAAAAATAGGCAAGCTGTCCTCTTGCTATCCCTGCAAAAGAGCTTTGCTAGCCACTGTCCAGTCCATTGGACAGTAGCCTTCGAAAGGCCACAATAAGAGGTCTTCAGTCGAGTGGTGTCATATGGTCCTCATTTAGAAGTATCACAAGAACATTACTTCTCACAGTATTTACAAATGAAAAACATATGGCTGCAACCTGTAATACTGCAAGAAATACTGCTCTTTGGGTTTGTTCTTGGCCTCAGACTTTTGAAATATGAACCAAGCAAAGGGATTTCAGCTTAATGTGTGATTCAGTCCATTCTTCTTCTCAGCTCAAAGTCTGGGGTACAGTTAAAGCTGGTATGTGAAAATAAGTAATTTGCCCACAAATATGGTAATGTACTACAGTTGGCAACTAGAGTATCATGTATATCAAAAAGGGGTGGGACTGGTTAATTAAAGGCATCTACTTCCCATTTAATTTAGAAAAAAATATATTTTACTGGCTTTGGTTACTACAAAGAGTTTTATAAGTCATATATAAGCCTCTTGCATTTACTATTTAGGCTAAATCAATATGGTTATCTACCTGTCAATTTTTCTTGCTCTTTAATGCAGAAAGAGAACAGCCTTTTTTACAGCGAACTCAGAAAGCACTAAGCTAATCAATACATGCAGCGATAACAGAATGATCTGAAACACGTAACAGAAGCTTATCACTTTGCAGTATACTGAACCCGTCAAAATATTTTCCTAGAAGAAAAGTGAAAATAGAAGTTCTCCATTTTTTAATGCTTAAGTGGGTGGTGACGTAGATGTCGTAGGCCTTTTGGATTTGTTCCTAGCTTTGTATTTTGGGGAAAACTTGGTACATGAGCATTTGCTGCTTCATAGGAACATGAGGCCAATTCCATAGTGAGATTTAAAAACTGCCTGGAGAATCAAAAATTATCTCAATTGCTCTTGATGATCCATTAACATTTATTGGAAATCCATGCATTGTTCTGGGGAACTGTGCAAAAGGTTTTCCTGGAACACAGCTTCTGATGCTCCCACAGACCCTGAAACCCTTTGCTTTACTCAGTACTCTCAGTAATTTGTGTTCGAGCCCAATCTGAAAAGTACAGGCTTTCTTTCAGCTCTCACCTGCTGCGTTAGCCCATTTGAAATAATTTGTAAGCATCTGATTCCTAGAGGTTTAAATATACATACATGTATCGAGATTCTGGATTTTATATCAGCAGAGAGAGGATCAGCTGTTATTGTGGTCTCTAACCTCTACTGTTTTGAAGAAATGCATAGGATTTAACTATGCAGTTCTCTTCAAGTGGTAAGTAACAATCATCTGCCATCATACAATTTAAGTAGGTGGAATTCTACATAATACAAAAGCTCTTTGCAATGTTCCAGGCCTGCCACAATTTGCCAAATGTTAAAAGTAAGGTCAAAATTGATATATATGTGTATGTAAGTATGCATGTAAACACATACTAAAGAGATAACAGTTAATAAGAAAGGAATAGGAAATGTTTACAGCTTGAGGCTTTCTATCATTTTTTTCTATGACTATTAGCTTCAGGGCCACTGTTATCAGCTCTATGTCATGAGATCTGGTGTATTTCTGCATAGCCACCCAAACTCACATGATGGTCCTGTGGCTTTCCAGTTCAGAAAGTTCTGCTTCACAACTTCTGAAGCTCAGAGGCTGCCAGACCTGGACACTAGTGGTTACAGTGGCTTTCGCTCAAGGTACCAAACCATAAAATGTTTTACCTTCACCCTCAGAGAACAACACCGATAAGAAAAACAAAGGAAAGAGATAAAAGAAATCAAAAGGATCACAAAATCACAAAGAAATCCTTATGGAACAACACTAACAGTCTACAGAGGCTTTGCTATTCCTACTTCTCTACCAGAAATGGCCACACAAGGTGCAGCAAGGTCCGAACTACTTTTGCATGGGTGAGTCAAGGACTGGAAATCACACAACAGCATCCACTCAGAGGCAAGGATTAGTCCACAGATGTGTAAGTGCTGCTAATTCTACATCCTGACTCAATCTGGTGAGTATGTGTGAACTTACCATGAATCTCTACAAACTCAGAAATCACTAAACCACAATCCATCGCAGAGCAGAGACATGCCAGCAGCGAGGCATTAACAATGTTGTCTACTCCAGAGAAGCTGAAAGATGGATGGGCACCTCTGAGGGCAGAATTGGGCCCATCAAACGAGCAAAGATTCTTAGAGCAACACCTCAAGTGACACAAATTATGTTATAAAATTGATCACTTCCTTACACATGGCAGAATGCTTCCAGGGCATTCAACATCCTATTCCATTAAGCCATGATAAATGAGACCATATTTCTACATCAGTCTGAGCACTTCTTTTAAACCTGCTTGTTCAAATATTTGGTTACTTATTTATTACCTTCCCCCTCAAGACAGCAAGAACTTTCATCTTCTTTTCCAACTTTGCATGTCCCAATGGGTGCCATAATTGCAAGACCATCACCTAGGAGTTTTATTTCTTCACAGAATTCCTAATCTTAAGAGCAAGAAAAATTTTGAGAGAAATCACTGAAAAATGCTTGGTGTGTAATCTCTACATATACACTCAGTAACTTGAAAAAATGGACTCAGAGATACAGGAAAGCCACAGAACAAATTTTGGAGAACTGCCCAAGAAAAGTAACTCTCCTACTACTAGCTTGAAGATCCTCACCACCACCACCTGGAACAATGTTAAGATGGAAACTTGTAGAGCAAACCTGTTTCAAGCAGATCACTATGGCTCGAGGTGGCTAGGGAAGGTTCATAAATTGATAAGCACCACCGAAGGATCATAAGCCTCCACATCAATTGTATAAAGATTACAACAGAGCCACTCGCTGCAGTCATTCTGAAAAGGTTATGGGTTTCACAGGTGTGCACTGTCAGTTCTGATTAAGCTTAAACTAAACCAGTTATCTATAATGTTGGATTGGAAGGAGTTTTATTGCTGAACGCAGGGTAAATCAAATTCAGGATACACATCTGTGGAAAAACACAGAGGGCCAAAATTCACAGTCCTGACACAGGCAAAAAAAATCCAACTCTCCGGACTCAGGAGGAGATTTGCCTGTAAAAGATCCATCAGCCTGGCTATTGTCCTATGTTCTGTGTCAAAAAGGCAAGTTATTTTGTCACAGGCTTTGGCTTTTCTTTCCCATTTCAAGTTATCGTTCCCTCTTCACAACGCAGACTACTTTTAGACTGTTGTCTACATTCATTTCTAAAGTGCCTAGAGTTTACCATTTATTTGAACATAAATGAAATTAATTATACACCTAAACCTTTCACTACGTAGGATATAAACTAAAGTAGCAACAAACTCAAATGTAATTTTTCATCTGTGCAACTAGGAATCTTTCCAAAAATAACAATTCACTTCAGAAGTTACTAGACCTATGCAAAAAGACAGTTGGTGAAATCCTGCACCCCAACAACCTTGCTAATAACTCAGTTGATTTCAAAGTCCCAGGATTTAATTCAAAAATTAAAGGAATTAAAAATACATTCTTAATAGCTGACCAAAATGCAAAAGGCCCATTGGATACTTCACATTAATGCCACACTTTAAAATGTCTCTATTGACTCATAGTTTTAATAGATGGCAAGAGTGAAAAAAAAGCATTTGCTTTTGCAACATCATTATTTCCTTTGCATGTAATTATTTACTTGCCAAACAATGCTAGTGACAAATCGCAACAGACTCTGAAGCCACCTCCATCAGCAGATTTTTAACCCAAGGTAAAAATAAACAGAAACATCTGTAAAGTAATCTTGCAGAAAGCTACGTTTATTAACAAATACATTTTCTAATAAAACACCATCTGCAAGCAACCCTCAGCTTCCACTTGATATAAATAGGCCTTTTACTGTTTTCAGATGCAGTTCCCAGAAAATTATTCCAAGCTCTACTGCAAAACACATCAGTCTTTGTTGCTGCCTGGAATGTTAATAAATAACATCAAGTTTTTAAATAGTCAAACAAATTATTGGCTTGAAACAATTATTCCAATAGAAAAAGCTGACTTTTTGCAATAAAGTTGTTTAAGAATGCATCGCTCCTCATTCCAGTATAAAAATATTATCAAGCAGAGAAATATTTTGAGGAAAACAAAAAGCTATGAAAAACCCATCTGCAATTCTGCTCATACATACACAGTACCTACCTTGCAAAGGTTACTGCATTACGAAATTCAGAATAAGAGAAAAAGTATACAGAGTATAAATAGTTCAATTCGTATCCTTATTATGCATTTCTGCTTGGAATGGACACGAATATGAACCAACTAAAATGTTCCTCACAGGACTACTGTACTGACCAGCAATACAAAATTCAACAGCTTAAACTGTTGGTTGCAGAGATTGGGACTGAATCCCAATATTAAAAGCTCTTCAAAATGCATAAAAGCTTCAAAGGGACACATTTTCATAAGCATTATTCAGAACTTAAGTCACATTAATTCCATTAAAAGCAACAGGAATTTAGCAAACTCTGCAAATAAACTCCTCGCTGGTAGGACTGTTTCACACCACTGAAATTTGAACACTGTCATTTTTCCTTAGAGTTTCAAACAGCAATCTGTCTATCAAACTACCTCCTAACTGAGAATGCAAGAGTGAAAACTGCAGATGAACTGAGATTAGAGTTCCCTGTCCAGAACTGGTATAGCTGGTGTAAATATATTACACCCAGCAGAGATCTAGCCTTTTAATATTAATCATAAACAAGCAATGTTAGTATTCCAAACTATGCTTTAAAAACTGCATTAAATATTGCTACTGGGACTATCACAACAAACTGCCGAAAGTAGTCATGCACATTCTAGAAGGAGTGTTTTACACTGTAATTCCAGGAAATGCAACTGCATGTTTCCAGAGAAAAATATTTAGTGAATTAAATACTCAAGCAGCACTAGAGAGAAGATATTTTAAACTACTTACTTCACTAACAGGAGGAATGTTGAGCTTTGGTACTTTGTTCTTCGAACTAGGTGTGTTCACTTTTCCTTCCAGCAGTGTTCCAAAGGACTGATTTCCATATCCACTCTCAATTTCTATTGGGGGTTTCAGTTCAGGTGAGTCATTGGGAACCTGGTCCTGACCGTCCATAGGCCTGACATATGCTGTAGGCTTCTGCTGGACCATGCTGTTTTTACAGTGAATTCCTGGTGGGAAATTCTGAGTCGAAAGACCATTGTTCGCAGTCAACAGAGAAGTAGAAGGAAGGGGAGATCCAGGACCGTGGCCTGCAAACTCAAGCTCTGTGGGTGACTTTGAATGACTGTTTTCTTTGTAAGTGTGTTCTCCAGGTGCTGACTTTGCATGTGTATGCCTCCTCGAATGTGAAGATGCTGCCATAGAATTTGCTTCCTCGGTTCCTCCACTTTTATGCTGCTCACTCTGACAATTATAGAGGTCTTCATACCTGCCCTGTGACTGCTCATGAGAAGAGCTATGCTTTGTCCGACTCTGTTGACTACTGGATTGGCTTGGCTGGGCCCCACTAGAGTTGTGACCACCGCGTGACCAGTCTGTCCTCGACTTCCTGCTGCTCTGGTGACTGTGTAGCAAAGTAGAATTAGATGACAATGAAGAAGGCGGAGGCATTGATGTTGATGAGTTGCCACTGATCTGATGAGATGGGATCATCCGGTTTCTTGGTTCTGGGAAAAAGTTCTGTTCATTTTTGTCAATGGGTGTCTGTGGGACAGAATTCTTTGGGATTCCTACAAGGTGGCTCTGATTGGAGTGGTTGGTTAACAGATCCTTCATCTCATCATAATTTCCCAATGTGTTCTGGACACGGTTTGCGAGGGCGTCGCCTTTATTTGTCTAAAATATCAAAAAAGATGACAAGAAAAGCATGAGTAAATTCCTGATTTACAAGTTACTGCTCAGAATAGTTGTCTTAGAAGATGGCAAATGTTAGCTGTTTAATGGTGTCATGCTGACATTTAATTTAATTTCAATTACATTTTGCATATGTTATGTAAGAAAAACCTATCAATAACTGTGTTCAAAGAATCTCTTGAAACAGGCTTGCATCAGTAACACTTGTATACTGCTTCCCATTTTCTTAAATATGCTCTCAGAGAAGTGTTTAAATTGCATCAGTTATGGATGTTAGGCGCAGAATAAGCTGGGTATATGTCAGAGATGTTGGGCTTGTACATTTCATATCATGCAAAACACGAAAGTGCAATTACTGGCTACTGAGCATTTGAATTGCAATCACACAATTTAAGGATGTTATTGCTCTATCAGCCCCTTGACCCATAGTCCTGCCATAAATAAAAGCTGGGTAGTCTGTAATAGTGCCAAACTCTTCATTCCAGTGTAACTCCAATTACTTTCCATAGAAGGTTCCGTTTGACCTGAAGTATCTACCATCTGAATCCATTTAAAAAATGCAACAAAACCTTCTACCCACTCAAATGCTACAGTAGCTTCAAATAAAAGTTCATTCACAAATATTTTCTCACAGAACATAAACAGACATGATTGTCACATTCTTAGTTAAATATTGGGATTCTTCTGCTGTCTGTAGGCCGGTTGTATTTTTAATCCTGCTTTTCTTTGATTTCCAGTAATTATTAAATAAATACTGACTCGTCTGTGTTTCACTGCTATTATACTTTTTCTTTTGAAGCATGAAGTTTCTTTTTCCTTTTCCCCTTCACTTGTAAAAAGCTGGACAAATAAGCTGGATGCTATAATTTATACACAGCTAATTTTCTCTCTCTTCCTGTTTTACCTCACCCCACAGAGGTGTAGAGCACCAGCCTCCTTACTGACCCTTCTGTGCCATTGAAATGATCAGCAGAGAACAAAACCATCTTATTCCCATGCTTATTAATTTACAAGACTCAATGGATAAAAACAAAGCAAAACCACAGTTCCTGTTCAAGCAGATGGCTAACTTCTACAATCTGGAATTAAATAACAAAGTTATGCCAGGATATAGCCAACGATACTACTTATGTCTGGGGGTTTTTTCCACTCAATACAGTAAGGAGTGCCACAGTCCAATGGCATCTTAACACCAGGCTGTAAAGATGGGGAAAGGCCACACTGTGGGCTTGTGCTTTGTTAGAGAGCATTGCACTTCATTCCTCAGTGAGGGACCTACCCTGCCACGATCCCCTTTTCCTCAAGTATTAACCAGACGTTTGAGTGCTAAAAAAAAAATCTATGCATGGATTTCTCCAGAAATACCTGCTTATATTACCTACTGCTGAACTGTCTGAAGATGAGAAGAATACTGCAGAAAGATTTTTTTTTCCTTAGTACTGTACATACCATAAAAAAAGTTGAAAAGAAGATAATAAGTGCAAATTTCCTTTTGCTCATTCTCAGGGATTGTAACATATATTACCACTGCACTGAGGCAGTGATTTAAAAATTAACTGTTCAATGTTGTTCTCATCTATATACATTTTGCCAGTGCTCCTAACTGACACAGTTAATAATCCCAGCTGTGGAGAACCACGAATCACTTTTATTCACTAACTAAGTCCCTAGGTTGGTCATTTTAGTGGCAAAAATTATATTCTAGCTAAGCCAAGAATAAGCTCTTTGTATATGAGCAGTCTCCTTCAACTGAGTTGCACAATGAGCTGTTTGGGCAGCAGCCAAAACCAGGCTCTCTCTGTTCAACCCCCAAATTTAAAACAAGGAGATTCCATTGTGCTTAAGGGCCCA